CTTATTGATGATGCTTTTCCACTTTACAATCAGGTTGTTAATGCCCTGATTAAAAAAATTACTTGGCTCTGAAGCAAAAAACATGTAGATGTCCTCTTTAACACCTTCCATATTTGCATACGTTTTCCCATTAAGGTGGTGTTGCAGCAAACAAAAAAGATGGTAATCTGATAGTGCCATATCTGGAAAATATGGTGGGTTGGGGGAACTTCCCAACCCAACTCCATAATCTTGTGTTGCATCAAACATGCTACATGTGGACATGCATTGTCGTGGAGAAGAACACCTTTCTGATTGATGAGTGAAGGGCATTTCTGATGAAGATCTTGATTTAAACATTCGAATTGCTGACTATAGAACTCTGCATTGACAGTTCACTGTGGATTGAGGAGTTCGAAATTAATTACTCCTTTGTTGTTCCCCCAAATGCAAAGCATCACTTTCTGCGGATAGAGTCCAGGTTTTGGGGTCAGAAGTGGTTTTTGTCTAGGACTGAGCCACTGTTTTTGCCATTTAATATTCGCATAGAGAATCCATTTTTCATCATCGGTGACTATTCTGTCCATAAATGCATTACGCGCCAGAATAGACGAAGCAATTTTCACATGCTGGAAACAATGATCATCGGAGAGATCGTGAGGCACCCAAACACCTTCTTTATGGAATTTTCCCATGTTCCTTAGATGTTTACATGTTGTTTCATGAGAGACATGCAACTTCATGGCCATTTCACAAGTGTGTTGCCTTGGGTTAGACTCAACAAGCATCTTCAGAGCATTAATCTCAATTCCAACATGTCGGCCCCTGCCATCACAGTTTTTAAGACTAAAGTCTTCTGAACAAAATTTGCTGAACCATCGTTGACACTTACAAACATTCAAAATATTTCCACAAACTTCTTTGTGGCTACAGAGGTGTTGCTCCCTTATTGTATTCAAACTGCATTACATGCCAAATGTGTGTCTCATCATGTGCCATTTAGACGGATCGTTTAACTATTATACGTGATGTACGTTTTTTGGGGGGTGGTTAATGAAAGTGTTCCAAAACATGACATTAATTTTTTTTAATGATGTAATATAAAGTAAAAAGTAGTTCTTTAAGGTTTCACAAATTGCAGCCTTTATTTCTCTTCTTTTTTGACATTTGTATATTTCTTTGTATTTTTGAGCAATTCTTATATATTTTTATAAGTTGGAAAGTCATGATTTTTTTTTTTTAATAATAAGAAATTTGTAAATCCAAAGAATGCTTGCATAAAACAAATAAATAAATAAATGTATCTCATGCACTTCGTCAATAACATTAATCTCAGGCTTCAGTTTGTGAATAAACAAGCTCTCTTTTAGTTGAAGGCTGTGTTCATCATTCGCCCTTGCTTCAATATTTAGCCAATTAAAATGGACAACAATGTCACTTTCTCATAGGGCATGTTCAAGTACACTTGTCTTAATATTGACCTTAGGTTAGCATTTATTTTCACTTATGTTGACAATTTTCTTTTATAAAACTGATATAGCCTTGCTGACAGCAAGGACAAGAAAATTTATAAACAGCAAATGATGTCTGTGAAGCAGGAATTTGGTCCTTAAATCTGAAAGAAAGTATAGGAAACAATTAGGTTAAATACACATCTCAATTGAATAGAGTTGTTTAAACATTTGTTTAATAACAAGTAAAAGCTTGGAATGGTCTATTCTTTCATTGGGGTGTGTGTCTATGAGCCAGACTAGTTTTGGAGAACTCCACTCATCATCAGTGACCCTGGACACTACCACCAATGAATTATCAGACCAAACCAAGCCTTTATAGTAGTGAGGTATCAAAAATCGAAATGGTATATTTAAGTGTTTTACACTCACAAAAAAGAAGCCTATAATTCTATAGGAATTTGAAGAATTGTAGCATTTCACCACAATTTAATTCTTCGTATTGTTAGCTGACACTGGGCAGCTGGTACATAATTGAATAGAATTGTTTAAACCTTTGTTTAACAACAAGTAAAAGCTTGGAATGGTCTGTGAGCCAGACTAGTCTCGGAGAAGTGATGAGGAGTGGAACTGAAGAATGTATCTGTTAGTTGTTATTTTCATTAAAGTCAGTGTGAGGGTCTCATTTATCAGGTAAATTTTGTCTGTCAAGTTACACCCACCAAATAAGATGATAAATCTTGCCTTATTAAAATCATTGTAATACCTCACATAGCAAAGTACATTAAGAAATGTTCATAGATGCACCTAGCATACTTCATTTTAAAAAATATTTATTGTATAGTGAAAACATCACTTAAACAAGTGAAATAATCTAATTATAGTCTATAAAATCTATGTGATAGGCCAGTAAAAATCAATTGACCATAATTTGTTAACCCGATGACTACCAGCTACTAACTTTCTTAGTAGGCAATGCAAGTGTGAGGGCAAAATCATTTGTGAATTGAAAAAATGATAGAGAACTTATTATTTAATGGATTTCTGATTTTATTTATATAAATAGTAGCATAACATTCAATTATTTGTACAAAATTGTATTATTTAATGAAGTTTAAAGAGGAATTTAATAAAAAAATTCCTAAAATACGTTTTAGACTGTAAATAAGCACCCTCTAAGAAGAAATGTTTTTTTCAAAAATTTTTTTAAGATATTTCCTTTCACCTCAGCACTGGTCCTGCCATCTATGATTGGTATCTAAACCTTTTTCTAGTCTGTTTTCTTTATAAAACTGCGTCTGGGCTAGTTAAACCTCAGTTG